CCCCCCCCCCCCCGCACACCCTGCGGTATAGTGCATGTTCTATACGCTAATTGCATGATCGTTGTGGTGTTCATTTTCGATGGGAGGGGTGCAGATGGGAGCGTCGGCCGGACGTGAAAAAGGAAAACGACACAAACCCCGGCTAGCGTCGCGGGGCGGAATTAGGCGTTGTTCTTTGGGGCAGCCGGTTGGCGCGGTAAATCCTTGCCTCAGAAAAATGACCACAATAAAAAATACAAGTTTTTACAAACCCTGTCCTTACCCTCCACGCAAACCACAACCGCTTTTGCCACAGGCATCACCTCCACTCCGTGCTGAACCCGGTTCATCCCGGCGGAAAAACACCACCTCCGTCAGCATCAGCGCCCCCTCTTCCCCCCGCAACTCCCGCCGAAGCACTGCAAAGAAGTACGCGCCAACAACCGGTGGCATCACTGGGGCTGTAGTCGGTGGCAGGGGCGGGAGCAACGGCAGCGACGCCTCCTACACGTTCGACTACTTCGGGCTGGCGGGTCAGAGGGGTGTGTGGCGAGGATTGGAGTCGATCTCGGCGGCCCGCGCGGAGGTGGGTGTTAAGGCGAGGGTTGTTTGCTTTTAAGTGTCATTGGCGCGGCATCGACTAGTCCATTGCAAACAAGCGCTGTTGCGAGAACGATGTAACTACGTAAGGAAATGAGTGCGTACGACTTCCATTGGTTCAAACTGGACCCCTCTTGAAATCCAGCTGCGAGCGGGGGCGAACGCGGGAATCGAGGAAACGAGACAATTGATAACATCGGAATATCTCGGGAGTCTCCTCTAGACTACATGTGCCTTTGGGTAGGATGATGGATGTCAACCCTCCAAGTACATCACCTCCAAAGTGGCTTGGTTGTGAATGAAACAACCACCAGATGCACATGTTACGCGACGACATGCAAATGTACTTGTGCAAGGAGCTGATTATTCCGACCATTCCCGTTGACACTGCACAGGTGGGAATCGAGGCGACGAAGGACAATGACGACGACCAGAACAGCAACAAGCAGGCGTCGGCGGGTGGGGGTGGGGGAAACGAGGCAAAGAGCGCAGCAGGAGAAACTGAGTCGGAGAGCGGACGCGCGCGCGGAGCAGGCGGCGGCGGGGCGAAGGGACGGAGAGGGGGGCCGGGGTCTCTACTGCCGGAGAGAGCGCCGGCGAAAGGGGTGTGTTCCCCTCCGAAAGAGACTCGCGACGATCTGCACACGTGAGCGTCGTCTTGCAAGCTGTGCTGCTTTCCTTTGGTGTTGGCTTGATCATGCACTCATGTTTCCGAAGCATGCATATATCAGCGAAAGCTCGAGTTGGTCCCTAAAAACTCAAGAGGAATGTCATTGCCATGCTCGTTCTCGAAAAAACGGTTTTCTTCCCATCCCCCGAACGTGCTGTGACATCATACACATAGCATGTCAATTGTTCTCGACGGTGTGTAACTGACCCTGAGTATTGTAACGACATTTTCTCGGCGTCATGACTGAAGGAAGGCATGCCCTTCCGAAACCACAAGGAAGGCAACCGGTGCAGCAAGTTACTATTGTACGCAATTTTTCCTCACCAAACCGAACCGCTGACCCTCGACGCCGCCTCTCCCGAAACAGGTACTACGCCGCGGTAAACCGCACCACAGCCGCCCTCGACAGCACCAGCGGCTCGAACCTGCCCCCTCCCCCTTCCCCCCGTGCCCTACGGCAAGGCCCCGCCTAAGAGGCTCACGGCGTCCCGGCGTTTACATCGGGAGACTATCGTCGAGGGTATGATGTCCTTCATTGCCCGCGTTCTCTGGCAAAAGGCACGATGGTGGGCTAGACAGCGGTAGCGCTGCGGCCACTAGGCTGCACGAAGTCTGAAGATACCCTCGACGTTTTGTAGACAGCGAGACATGTATTCTACGACAGCGATGATGCTGCTGTAAGCGTGAGCCGGAACGGGGCACGGAGAGAAAAAACTCGAGGACAATCAGGACGAGCCGCCACAGCTGAAATGCCGCATCCTTCGTGCAACAAAGCAAAAAATAGCAAGAAACGAAGCAAAAGTGCTAACTTCCTACTCGACCCAGAAAATATGCCAACGGCTTTGAAAGAAGCGTGGGTGAGCGAGAGACTCTCCTTGTTCGGTCCAACGAAGGATAAACACATAGACTGCCTGGAAATATGACAGATACATTGTGGGTAGTCTACTGTTGTCAGGAAGGAGTGGAGAGTGAAGGAAGGAGTGATGGTGAAGCACAGCCGGCCGCAGGAGTGATGCTCGTTTCGCCTTGGGAAACTGTAAGATAGACGGTGCATCTCGCGGAATCTATCCGGTGAAACCGCCTCGTACGTCCCGTGCCTGGTAGTCTCCTGTGGCGGACGCAAGCTTGTCATAGACGTTTGTTCAGGCGGTGTGCAATAGCGTGGTGTCAACGAGTGGGGTCATTGCGACAGAAGCACTTCTGACGCTCTGTGGGATGGATAGCTATAGGCGCTAGGATCCATTTGTGAAATGTACTTCCGCATTGGATGTTTTATTCTATTTAGGCAGTATCCGTGCTTTTTTGTAGAAGTAGCGATGGAGAGGGGGCGCCAACAACCTGTAGTGATGTTGTCGCGAGGTGGCGGACATGTATGTGTAAGGGCTAGACAATTAAATACTTGAGATGTATGAACATGTGCCTAGTAGATATGGTTGCGGTGTGCGAAGAACGGCAAGGAGAGGTTAGCTCGCCCAACCACCAGTCTCTTTGAATACGTGACCCATAAGTTCCTCGTGATCAGTTGCAGGCCTTAATTAATTGTGAAAAAGAGAAAAAAAAAGTGTATGCGTTCTTCTAGTGGGATGTACCCGCCAAGACGCTGGCGTAACGAAAAGCAACAGCTATGGGCTCTTCTTTCCCGCGGCAAAACAGCATGAATCGCGACGAGTAGATATCATAGACATCGCAGGCAGGTGGTGTTGGTCGTTGGCTCGAAGTACGTATGTGAACGGCCCGTTTCCTTCGCCTCTACCTTCCTCTTCCGAGGGAGAATGTCAATCGTTTTCTTGGAACATGGAACGGACCACTCACCACAAAAGCGCTCGCCCATTGAAAGTACCGTGTCTCTTTGGGAAACGAATGGGAGGTGGGTAGACGGCTAAATAGGGCAATTTACACCTGAACGAGTCGACGTCGGAGAAATCCTCGCAGACTAGTTGGTCACTTGGTGGCCGCATTAGTCGAGGTGTGGATCACTGAAAGGTGTTCATTTTTGTCTTACGATCCAGTTCCAACTGATACTTCACTAATCCAACTGCATGCGCTAAACATACATACTTTTCCCTCTTATTTCCTCGAAGAGACCGTAACGGTCTCTATTGAGTCTAAAGGTCTTGTGGAAAAGAGGGTTTCGTCCTCGACAGACGTTGGGGAGTTTCAACCTTTATGAAGGTGGTCTCCACATTACCCCCCCCCTTTTTCGAGGCTTCTTCTTGTTTGCTAGGCAAGAGAAGTCTTCTTGGGGTAACCGGAACCCGACCGGCTGGCGGCGAGTAGAACCACTCTTCTGTGCGTGTGTGCGGGTGCGCCACTTCCGCCACGCATTGCCAGAAGTTTCGAGTTCGATAGACAGTGCATCCTTTCTTGGCCCACCCACCGTTCTTCTTTTTTCCGTACTCCGGAAGGAAATAAGGTGAGCAGCGGGTTTTGAACCCGTGTCCTTTGCAACCGAAAGCAGACACGCTGATATCTCTTCGTCGCCGCCATTGTGGAAAAGAGGGTTTCGTCCTCGACAGACGTTGGGGAGTTTCAACCTTTATATAGGTGGTCTCCACAGTCTCACAGAACCGAAAAAAAATGTGAATTAATGATCACTTCAGTTCGAAAGCTTGAACCACGCACCTTTTTAGCCGAACGCCCGAGACGCGAGAAATCACCCCATCGATCGGCCGTCCTGCACTTTTTTTGAAGCATTCTGCAAGTTTCCGCTTGATTGGTGCCTTTTACGTTGTTGACGGTTGGCTGTGTCGATGACCGGCGCTCTCAAGCACGAAACACGAGCGAGCATGCAGCAGGTGCTGCCGGCACCAAATTGCTCCGATCTCGATCGATTTTTGCCTAAACGTTGCCTATCCTCCACCAAATTGAAGCCCCGTTCAATCTACAGCTGGATTGATAACTCTTTCGACGTTGGAAGGACTGTGTGCCTACCAATTGCCTGCCAACGAGACGTTCCGGCCACACCGCTGCAACCTTCCGACGCTGCAACCTTCCGACGCGCAGTTTATTTATTCCACCGCATGTCCCGCGCACACCAACAACTGGACAGCTGATGATTGATGACTCTATCTTCTCTTCGTCGGAACACATCCATCCATCCATCAAGTGCACAATAACTCCGATCTCGACCAGTTCGTGTGCGTGTAAGTTGCCTCCTTCCCCGCGCTTACCCTGCCAACGACAGGATCGCGGAAGCTTTTTCGCCGCAAAACGACGGATGGATTTCGCTCTCGTCGGAACGACACGTACGTGTGCCCCGCGATAGACTATTCGCCGCGTTCCGGGGGAAACAATTGTTCTTGTACATACGCGCGCGCATGCATGGAGGAATTGAAGGAGCGATTTGTCCAGGCGTGCTTGTGTATCTCCTTTCCCGAACAGTCTTGCATTCTGGATACAACGTGCCAAAGGACACCAACACCGGAACCGTGACATTGCCATATCCTACGTCCACCTCCCCGCAGGATATGTGTTCCTGCCCATTGGCCAGCGAGTGTGCATTGAAGACATGGCTGTGCTTGTAACGATCCCAAGAGAACGGTCCCAAGCCTGTAGACTAAAATGTTCATCCGCGTTCATCCGCGTTCATCCGCGATCCGGGGCGATTTTTCATTCCACCGTGCACCACCATGGTATCCACCTCACAGCAAAGCCCAAACTATGTACGTGTACGCGTGTGCTTTTATTATTTGCATCGACCGCGCTAACCGGCTGACCAATGAAAAGACGTCAGTCTTAGTGCGGTTGAAAACACAAAACACTTCTATCTACAATGAACTGGGACCCCGTGAGGGGGCAGCATGGGGGAGGCTAAACTATCCTTCGGATTGAAAATAGAAACAGCAGCAACAGACGAAAAATGCACGCGTCTACCAAGGCTATTACCTAGTACTCGAGTTCGTTTAGGAGTACTTTCACCAGTGTCCTCCTTGTTTTCGCTACCATCATTCCGATCCTCATTTCGACAAGAAGAATCTCTGGGCAGTTCTTCCCTAGCCCTACGTTTCTTGTTGTGGGGAAGGTCATCTGGCTCAAACCCTTTGCTCTCTTCCACTCCTCCATGTTTTTCTGCTCCATCGTCGTCATCCTCCTTTCTCCCCTTTCCCTTTCCTTCGTCTTCGTCACTCCCAAAAGAATTACCCTCACTACTATCGTTGTCGCAGAGATCCCAACCGATTGGCCCTGGTGGAAGTTGGTCGATCAGTAGCCCATGACGTTTGAACACATCGCGAGTTCGCATCGACAGAAAACGAGCTAGCTCGAAGGTAAACCGTCTCCGAATCCTGTTAGTATGAAAAGCTTTCAGGCGAACTAAGGCCCTCTCGTCGTCAAAATTTTCCCGGCAAAAAGCTTCGTGCGCCAAGTGGTTGGCGATAGCAACGATGAGTCGATTGGTGCCTTTGCCAAGACCACCATTCGTTGAAAAAGCAGCAGTAAGGAGGGTAGATCTAGACGGGTTGAAAGTTCCCGCATAGTGATTTGCCTTACTTGCAGCTCGATCTTCGAGGGCTGATCCTGGCTTAAGGATCGACTTGTCGATGCTTCGACCTGCTGATGGGTTGACGATTGTTACGTCGATCAGAATGGACTTGGTGCAGAGGTCCTCTTCCTTCTCTCCTGCGTGTAATCCTGGGGGGATTACCAAATCCATCTTGTATAGCCCCTTTCCCCTACCAGTGCCTGTGGTAAAAGGGGAAGAATCCTCAACGGCGATGGGCATATGGCACTCGCGCAGTGTCTTGAGGACCACTCGAACCATCCTGTTATGGAGGAAGGTTGAGGCGCCGGTCTTGGTGCAGACGAGGGAGTGGGCTCGGCTCAAGCGGTCCTTGCATGGTAACAATGCACCTGCACCACAAAGTTTGCCTGTGTTGCAGTCTGCTCGATCGTGACTCCCCAGTACACGACCGATTGACTCTCGATATAGATCAGGCAGCATTCTTTCATCTGCTGACAACCCTTGCGTTGTCAACCACGACAAAACTCCCTTGCCTTTCGCTTCCTCCAAGCGGATCAACGCCCTCTTCTTTGGCGTTTCCTCGCCTACTACTTTCTGCAAGTCTGTCTCCACCATGTGGCGCACTGCTGCATGAAGAGGTTTCGAAAGGAGAGCTTGGGCTCCAAAGACTTGGTAGTGTTGACCAAATTCATTTCGGCTGAAGGTAGACGGTGGTTGATGTTCTACGTCAGGGTTTCCATCTTCACGGGGTTTTCCCGCCTTCCCTGCTTCCAACAAGTAAACTCCTTTGAGGGCGGGGGTTAACTCATCACTTGTGGCAAGTTTAGCCCATGACTGCCCAACAGCTTTTTCAAGCTTGTCTTTGGTGATGATTTCCTCTAGCTTCTTCAGCGAGTCAATCAGAGCCAATCCTGTCGGTAGCTGGGCAAGCCGGGGTAGACATTGCTCAACTGTGTATCCTGTCGATGCTTGCACTGACTTGGAGAACACCAGCGCTTGCCCTGCCACAAAAGCCGATTCTCGAATGAGAACATTGCTCGTGATTCCTAGTCCTCCTTCTCGCATGGGTAGGTGCACCTGCGCCCGAGCTGTCTCTTTGAAGAAATCTACCTCCTCGCTCTTCGTCGGGTCTGCGCGTACCTCTTTGACCGTTGGTATTCTCATGCTGTCGGCCATCTTGCCAAGGACGATCTTACTCATTGCCCACATCATCATGTTGTCATGTATTTTTGCGGCAGAGTTGGTGATAGACGGTGCAATCGTCCTCAGCAGATGGAACAAACGTGGCACACCAGATAAACGCAGCAGTTGATAGCTGGCTTGAGGGTCGTCAAGCGTTGCTAGGCGGAGTATCAATTCCGCCGGGTCACCACGGGCGATTTTGGAAACGAAATTCCTCTGGAACTCCTCTGTTCCTACTGGGATCCCGACAACTGGCATGCCACCTTCAGCAACTGACAGACCAATTTTCGTCAATTGTTGCTGTTCGTCGTTTGTCAAAGAGGACATGCAAAGACCTTCCGGGAAAAGCACTTTGGATTTCGGGAGACTGAGCTCAATCCCTTTTTGGGAGAGACGTTCCTGAATCCAATTCGTTACAGTGGATATGGCCTGCATGTTCCTAGCCAAACCTGGTGGAAGATGTGCTTGGAGGTCGTCGACGTATCCGATGAGTTTGACTCCTGGCACTGGTGGCTTGTTGTTGAACTCTTTCATGATATCAAGAAGTCCTACACAGAAGCCAAACCCTCCCAAATTGCAGCCTTGTTGAACTCCGCGCTGTGAAAGTACGCGTGTGTGTGTTTTATTATTTGCATCGACCGCGCTAACCGGCTGACCAATGAAAAGACGTCAGTCTTAGTGCGGTTGAAAACACAAAACACTTCTATCTACCATGAACTGGGACCCCGTGAGGGGGCAGCATGGGGGAGGCTAACCTATCCTTCGGATCAATAACAGAAACAGCAGCAACAGAAGAAAACTACACCCGTCTACCAAGGCTATTACCTAGTACTCGAGTTCGTTTAGGAGTACTTTCACCAGTATCCTCCTTGTTTTCGCTACCATCATTCTGATCCTCATTTTGACAAGGAGAATCTCTGGGCAGTTCTTCCGTAGCCCTACGTTTCTTGTGGTGGGGAAGGTCATCTGGCTCAAACCCTTTGCTCTCTTCCACTCCTCCATGTTTTCCTGCTCCATCGTTGTCTTCGTCCTCCTTTCTTCCCTTTCCCTTTCCGTTGTCTTCGTCACTCCCAAAAGAATTACTCTCACTACTATCGTTGTCGCAGAGATCCCAATCGATTGGCCCTGGTGGAAGTTGGTCGATCAGTAGCCCATGACGTTTGAACACATCGCGAGTTCGCATCGACAGCAAACGAGCTAGCTCGAAGGTAAACCGTCTCCGAATCCTGTTAGTATGAACAGCTTTCAGGCGAACTAACGCTTGTGTGTGTGTGTGGTGTGTGTGTATGGTGTGTGGCCAGATAGCCAGCGAGTGTGCCCTGAAGACATGCTAGTGTGGTGGCGGTCTCAAACATCATGCCCTCATCAACAACAGATGAAAAGGGGGAAGGGGTGGACTGATCCACGGATGGATCCGACGGGTAAACGGTACATTCAACAGCAGACCAGCGGAGAGCAGCGGACCGTGACGCAGACGCAATCCATGGAATGTATCACTCAACGGGACCAATTGGCCGTGTTGATGTTCGGGCACACCACTACAGCCTGCCTTGGGTGATTGCTGCACGCCGTTGTACGTTGTAAGATCGAACACAATATTCGTTGGCACGGCACGACCGTTGGCACGGCACGACCGTTGGCACGGCAGTCAATCTGCCATGATCGTGCATGGTGGAATGAAACGTCGCCCCGGATCGCGGATGAACGCGGAGGAACATATCATGGATCGTGGATCGTGCCGAAGTTCTTTAGTACTGTCGACATGGACTACTGCTTAGGACCGTTTCAGCACGACCATGTCTTCAACGCACACCCGCTGGCCAATTGGCCAGCAACGTATATATGTATGTGCATGGACACCTGTCGTGCGGCGAGGTGGATACTAGTCTTCTACAGGATATAGCAATGTCGCGGTTCCGGGTTTTCCGGTTTTGGTGGTATGGTGTGGGGTGGGGTGGTATGGTATGATGTGGTGTGTGGTGGTGTGGTGGGGGGTGGGGGGTGGGGGGCTTGTTTGGATACCCCCTCGGGTGTTTCCTGTTGGAGTTTGTGGAAAGAATGAGAGACAGACACGCTGTAGGACTGAAACACATTGTGCCAGCCAAACTCCCAATCAAGACCACGGCTGGAAGAAACAGGTAAATCTGTCAGACTGAAACACTTTGTGCAAGCCAAACAATTCCAGGGTCTGCTCTTGTCCATGGTGCTCACCTCTGTTTCTATACACCCTATCGCTCAAAAGTCACCAACTTGGTCTACGCCAACATGATGAAACTGGCCAGCATGCTATGCGGGACCATCGATTGAGGTTGACTGCGGTTGACTGCCGGTCGTGCCAGCGGTGTTCGACCATACCATACTGCCATGGCGTCCTGCATTAATCACCCAGACTGTGGTGTTTCTGAGCATGAACATGACCAAACGGTCCCGTTGTGCGACACATGCCTTGGTATGCTCTGTCCGCCTGCCCCATGGTCCGCTGGTGGTCAGCGAGGTCGCTGGTCGGCTGTAGAATGAAACGTTTACCCGTTGGATCCATCCGTGTTTCCGTCCACCCCTCTATCTCTGCGGTTGCTGTTGCTGAGGGCATGTTGTTTGAGACCGCCACCACACTGGCATGTCGTCAGACAAGTGACCACACAACAGACACGTAGGTTTGGCTTGCGGTGAGGTGGATGCCATGTTGGTGCACGGTGGAGTGAAACATCGCGGATGAACGCGGAGGAAGGAACATTAACACTTGCCCGTCGTCGTCCGATCATGGATCGTGGATCGTGCCGAACTTCTTCCATGCTGTCGACATGGACTACTGCATAGATAGGACCGTTACAGCACGGCCATGAGTTCGACGCACACCCGCTGGCCAATTGGCCAACAACGTATGCAGGTATGTGCATGGACACGTGTCGTGCGGGAGGAGGGTGGATAGCCTATTGGATATGGCAATGTCGCGGTTCCGGTTTTCCGGTTTTGGTGGTGTGGTGGTGTGGTGGTGTGGTGAGGGGTGGGGGGCTTGTTTGGATACCCCCCCCGGGGTGTTTCCTGTTGGAGTTTGTGGAACGGATGAGAGACAGACACGCTGTAAGACTGAAACACATTGTGCCAGCCAAACTGCCAATCAATCAAGACCACGGCTGGAAGAGACAGATAAATCTGCAAGACTGAAACACTTTGTGCCAGCCAAACCATTCCAGGGTCTGCTCTTGTCCATGGTGCTCACCTCTGTTTCTATACACCCTATCGCTCAAAAGTCACCAATTTGGTCTGCGCGCCAACATGATGAAACTGGCCAGCATGCTGTGCGGGACCACCACCGATTGAGGTTGACTGCGGGACTACCGATTGAGGTCGAATGCCGGTCGTGCCAGCGGTGGTCGACCATACAATACAATATACCATGGCGTGCGGCAATCACCCAGACTGACTGTGGTGTTTCTGAGCATGAGCATCGCCAAACGGTCCCGTTGTGCGACAAAGGACTGGCCAGTTTCATCGTCGTGTTGGCGCGGAACAAGTTGGTGAGTATTGAGCGATACACTTCCACCGATTGTCCCACATTTTTGGGGCGGGGTGATTTTTTTGAAAGGGTTGTCAAAATAATTGGGCGACAAACAAATGTAATGTGCGTTCGAAAGCTCTCGCCAGTAGCTTTCGAATAATAAGCCTTTCAAAAGCGGTGGGTTCGCTCTGGATCAGGAGTTATGGACCTATTACCATCGCCAGCGAAGGTACTTTTCTCCACTGAATCCTCCATATCTCGACAACTACGGCGAACCCACGAAAAAAATTGCAGATAATTGGCGCTCTCTTTCTGTTGTATTTTATGGCGTTGGTTCCATTTCCGAACCTGTTGACAACAACATGTCCCAAAAAATCAGAAACTAGATTATAAAAAAAATTGCCCACATCAGCCCCAACGGCTGAAAACAAAACAAGCTAGCGGTGCACGCACTGCACGCCCATGACCTCCATGCTTCGCCCTGGGGCCCATGCGGCCATCAGGGAAGCCCTGACTAGGAGTGGTTCTACGTTGACCGGTGTGCGTCAAGTGAAGAGCCCGAAAATGTATNTCTCCACTGAATCCTCCATATCTCGACAACTACGGCGAACCCACGAAAAAAATTGCAGATAATTGGCGCTCTCTTTCTGTTGTATTTTATGGCGTTGGTTCCATTTCCGAACCTGTTGACAACAACATGTCCCAAAAAATCAGAAACTAGATTATAAAAAAAATTGCCCACATCAGCCCCAACGGCTGAAAACAAAACAAGCTAGCGGTGCACGCACTGCACGCCCATGACCTCCATGCTTCGCCCTGGGGCCCATGCGGCCATCAGGGAAGCCCTGACTAGGAGTGGTTCTACGTTGACCGGTGTGCGTCAAGTGAAGAGCCCGAAAATGTATCGTCTGCAGCTGACAGCAGACCTCGCGGGTGGTTCCAGCAGCAGCTGGTGCAGCGACTGCATCAACTACCCACAGTCAAACAAAAAGGCACGTGACTGGTCGGCCGAAGCAAAGTTCGCTACTGCGTGGCGGCCGTCTTCTTCTTGCGGTAGCGCCGTTCTCTCCACAGACGATGCGGGGCGCCAGAGCAACGTCATACCTCCTCCTCGAGAAAAATGGTCGCGGGACTGTCAACCCCTGGCCGAGATCCTCCCAGTGCCTCCACCATGTGCAAAGCAGACAGCACGTGAAGGGGCTGGCCGACCGAAGGGAAGCTTCGGCCGGAAGAGGTTGCGTGCAATGATGGAAACATACCAGGAGTGTGAGGTAGATCCAAGTGGTGGGTCCGCAGGAACTGCACATACACTATCGCCTGCTTGCGAGAGAACGTTTCCAAGAGCTTCGGGGTAGACTAGACAAGTTGAGCCTAGACATCGTTCAAAACTTCTGCTGGAAGGTGGCCAACTTCCACGCGGTGTACGACGCAGGGCTTACNGAAACATACCAGGAGTGTGAGGTAGATCCAAGTGGTGGGTCCGCAGGAACTGCACATACACTATCGCCTGCTTGCGAGAGAACGTTTCCAAGAGCTTCGGGGTAGNTGCGGTAGCGCCGTTCTCTCCACAGACGATGCGGGGCGCCAGAGCAACGTCATACCTCCTCCTCGAGAAAAATGGTCGCGGGACTGTCAACCCCTGGCCGAGATCCTCCCAGTGCCTCCACCATGTGCAAAGCAGACAGCACGTGAAGGGGCTGGCCGACCGAAGGGAAGCTTCGGCCGGAAGAGGTTGCGTGCAATGATGGAAACATACCAGGAGTGTGAGGTAGATCCAAGTGGTGGGTCCGCAGGAACTGCACATACACTATCGCCTGCTTGCGAGAGAACGTTTCCAAGAGCTTCGGGGTAGACTAGACAAGTTGAGCCTAGACATCGTTCAAAACTTCTGCTGGAAGGTGGCCAACTTCCACGCGGTGTACGACGCAGGGCTTACGGGCGCCGAGGCGGTAGAGGCGCAAGAGAAATGCAGGTCGCACCGTAAGCCGGCTCCATTTGAATATATTAACCCCAAGGAACGTATATGCTAAGAGTCGGTACGTTGTGTGTGGGGTTCGAAAGAATGACCTCAACTTTTGCTTCTGTCGGTTTCGGGTTGTCCACGAAGTTTGTTGTCCGTTTTTTTTTCGACCGGCTGCGTTTCCCTCCCGGTCGATAAGATCGGTAGTATTTTGACAATCGTAAAAAGTAGTGCGAGGGAGTGCTATCGATTGTAAATACAGGGTTTCCCCTACGATAAAACGAAAACAACGAAATGTCAAACGTTAACGACCAGAAAAGGGGGTAAAATCTCTTGTGCCCCCCTTCAAATGTGTATCTGTACTTGTTTCGTGTGTTTTTCTTTCTTTGAGGGCGCCATCGCGTTCGCCTGCTCAAACCCCGCCGATATCAACCACGAACAAAAAAAAACCGGCATGATTACGATAAACAACATATTCGCCTGATTGAGAGCGTAGCATCTGATTGAGAGCGAGATTGCGCGATACGCTGTAGCCGGACTACCACTGAGAGGTGGAGCTTGCTGTGTAGCTTGAATTGAAGGGCTAGCCCGTAGCTTCAAGCCGCTACCCTGGTCATCCTGTGGGAGTCTCTCGTTGTGGAGCTACAGCGGGGAGCAGAAGCTACAGCAGAGCCCACCGCCCGACGCGATACCGCCCTGAAACAGTTTGAGCAGAAATAGCCAATCTGGGCAAATCTAGCAACTTGTCTAGCTCCTCGCTGCAGCATCCGATGACGATGACACGCATATGCTCGCGAAGCTGCTGATGAGACCTTCAATTTGCACCGCATCTTGGAATAGCCCGTCCCCTACTTGCCAACAAATGGCAAGAGGCGTCTGGACCCGAAATTTCAATTTTTTTGGCTCTCGCTCTCAATCAGATACTTCGCTCTCAATCAGGCGAATATGTTGTTGATAGTGGTTATCGAGATATCGGACGAAAAGTTTCATCCCCTCCCTCCCAAAAACGCCTGGAAAAACCTGTACGAAAACCACGAATTCTCAGAAACGTCTCAAATCGATTTGGTCCCTGAACAACTGTTGTGGCATTTGTGATGGAGATCAATACTAAAAAAAAAAAATGAAAATGAAAATACCTGTTCTTGATGAAGTTATGGCCGGTCAACTGAAATCGGCGGGACAATCGGTGGAACTGTAGGGTATAGAAACAAAGGTGAGCATCGTGGATAAGAGCAGACGGCCCTGGAATTGTTTGGCTGGCGCATATTATTTCAGTCTCACGGATTATTTTTCTCTTCCAACGGGGTGGTTTCGATTGATTGGGAGCTTGTCTGGCACAAAGTGTTCCAGTCTTCAGCAGTGTCCGTCTCTCATTCTTTCCCCGAACTCGAACAAAAACACCTGAGGGGGTATCCAACCCCCCTACCACAACACACTGAAAACGAAACCGTGACAATACCGTATCCTATATCCACCTCGCCGCAGGACACGTGTTCATGCCAATTGGCCAGCGAGTGTGCATTGAAGACATGACCGTGCTTGTAACGGTCTCAATCAGACGGTCCAAAGCAAGTCTGCAGTCTAGACTATGTTGACAGCGTGAACGAAGTTCGGCGTGTTCCGACGACGACGGGTAAATGTTCACCCGCGTTCATCCGCGTTCACCCGCGATCCGGGGCGATCTTTCATTCCACAGTGCACCACCATGGTACTCACCTCACGGCAAGCAAGCCCAAACTACGTGTGTGGGTGAAGTGTTGATGTCGTGTGTGGACAGCCTTGCACGGGAAACGTGCGACGACATGGAAAACGCGCGTTCCCCCAGTCCAAGGCATGCGGACTGTCACATCTGTTCTCCAATTCCGTAAAAACCCAATTCGCGTTGTTTTGCACGCAGCACAGAAAATCATATCCTCCTCTGATCCCTCCACGTCAGACTGAGTATCAGGCGTTGTCCATCCAAACTAAATATATATACTTAACGCTTTCTTCTTGCCGTGACCGTCGTCCTAAGGATACAACAAGATTCATCACACTGCTTTTATAGCGAATCTTCATCTCTTCACTGCTCTATACACGACCTATGTATGGACGAAACTCTCTTGGAGGACCAGCACGGTTGCATTGCCTCGACACCAAAAATCCCTACTCGCACAAACAAGGCCGAGCTCGCTGTGTCGAAGCAACCATTTGTACCTGAGAACGAGCCGTGTACACTCCGGACGTCCGGAAAACAGTCGCACAGAAGCGGCCGTCTCGTCGCATCGCTACCGCGATCGTGTCACTCTCCTTGTTTTGAGTGCCGTGCGTGTACGAGACCGACGACCACCTAGCAAGGTGCACCCCAGAGACATCTCCGAACGATCAGCGGAATTCCTCGTAAGACTCGTAGTCACCACCGTCGTCGTCGTTGAGCTGCGGTCGGGCCCACCATATCAGATCAATAATGCAGCGGGGGTTGCTGCCGCTGTTGATAAAGTCGTCCTCGTCGTCACTGCTGCAAATCCGTGTGTAAAGATACTCTAGAGGCTCCATGGGCGGCCGGGCTTTGCTCTGCACGGGAGGTGGCGGGTTGTGGCGGGTTCACGTGATACAACAACACTTACTGGTCGAGTTGTTGGTGGTGCTCGATTGGGCTCCACAAAGAGCTCAAACGTTCTGCTCTATACGACGAGGACGCTTGCTAGTGCGAGTAGCGTCTAGCGAAGACACATAGACGGATCTGCGCATGGGGGGTGGACTTGGCTGCTTAGCGTTTTCGTTTGTTGTCCAGGACTGAAGATAATGAAATTGCCCGAAAACCAACGACATATCGCCTAGCACTGCCCGCACACGCTGTGATGCGCACTGAAAGCACCGCCAAACCGGCGAATTGCGACTTCAAGGACCCCTGTTCTTGCCCCCCTCCATATACGTTCGAGTTCGTCCTTTTTTCCTCTACGAGACCGTCACGGTCTCCAGAGACTTCACAGAACGGTAAAAAAAAAAGTGTTAGTCAGTCAGTCAGTCAGTCAGTCTGTCTGTCGCCGTTCACTACGAAGCTCCGAACACCGCACTATCATCTTGTCGTCCTCCTTGTCGTCCTCCTGCTAAACAGTGCTACAGGTCTAACACTGCCAGAACGGAAACTCGCTCACCATCACGAACTTCAGAGACACCTCCCTTGGTAAGAACCTCCACTTCCTACGACAGGGAGAGCAACACAACCAGTCACGCTCTCGCTCCTTGCCGTCTACAGCGCCAACACCTCCCACGCACCTTCCTCGTCGACATGAGCTTCAGAACGTCCTCCAGGAGGGCGATCTCTTCCTCCGTCAGCACGACCCGAAGGGCCGCGAGGTGAGCTTCCCGCAACCTCGACGGAAAGTCCACCTCAAAGTCGATCACGAGGGATCCCCTATCCCCCTCCCCTCCCACAACTGGAAACCCGAGGCCGGGCAGTTCCTGCTGGTAGCCGGAGAGGGTAACCTGTGTTTTGGGGTGATGGCGGCGGGGGTGTATGTTGTGCTCTCATGTCTTGCTTGGATTATGCTGTTCCTGATACCAGCTTGTAGCGTGAAATAGGGGAGCAAGGCCCTTGATCTCCGTCTATCACCACCACCCGAAGTCCCGGGTCGGGTACTTCCAAGGAAATGCTGGGTAACCTGGTTGGCGGCTTATGTGTCTGAGGAGTACGTTTTCTTCAAGCAAACGTTATTTTGTGCCTGTAGGTGGGCCTAGTTGGAAGCCGAACAGGAGAGGGACGGCCGATGATGCTAGGGAAAGCCACTTGCCAAAACACGAGTGACCGAACAACCTGGTCCTGTGCGGCTGCGCTTATCGTCAGGCACAGCCAGCAGCGCGCCCACCGGTCGCCACGCCCCTCCCCTGATTTTGGCCTACAACATAAAGCTGGTTCACGGAAATGAACCCAAATTTTATCAACCACCGCTGCTAGACGAAAAATGTACACAAAATTGACATATCTCGTATCAAAGTGATCCCCATGAGCAAGGGAACAAATCACCGTGACCGGAATTTTAATCAGAGCCGTGACCGCAATGCAATGGGCATAAATGTGTCTCGGCCAATCAGAAGCCTCCATCATGATACAATACTAATAATGCATGCAAGCCCGCACTTCCCACCTCTTTCTAACGCAGTTTTGCAAAAAACGAAATCCCCATACTCTAGGGGACCTACTGAAAAAAAAAATATATATATATATATAGGAAACGGTCATCGTGAACGCGAGTTATGCCCCAAATTGTGGTTCACCGGCCGAGATTTGGCGTCGTCGAGTTTCTACGGACGGATAGTACACTGGGAAATACGCCGAGAGTTTCGTTTTTGTTTGCCTAGTAAATGTCGAAGGAAAAGTCGAATCATCCTCAGATTTTGATAGCATGGTGCAACGAAATTGTGCAAATCGTAAAAAGAAAATGAGACAATAGTTGCACTGCTGACCGGCGTATTGGGGTCCTCAGTGTGAAACCCCCCAAAACCGGTACCAAATGTATAAACACCACTTTTTTTTTTTTTCCGCTGCACGATAACTCCATTATCCTTTCCAGAAAGTTTTGTAGTACCACTTGTAAAACTGACGCAGTACGGGGCTTGATTACTTACTAATATCAAGTAGTTTGGGGGAAAATCAGGATGGTGAATACTTCATGACACAAAAGCTAAAAACTTCACGCCGTTTTTAAGAGTTAGACTCTGAAACTTTGC